GAGTGCTGATGCTGACTACTTGCTATAGTCCTATCTGTACTCAGACTCTGGGATAGGCATTTTTTAATAGTAAGTAATAGTAGTAATCAAAATAGTAGAAGTAATCAAAATAGTAGAAGTCATAAACAGACCTTATTCATTGTTAGAGATGTTTTTACTGAATAAATTCTGACAATTGCATTTCCTTTTTTTCCAGCACACACACACAATAACTGGGTATTGCATTTATAAAACTCTGTGTATTCTACCCAAAACCTCCTATTGCCAACTGGCTTCTATTGAAATTCATGATACAGCCCAATTCAATGGCACCAAAAGCAGGCCATAATCTGCTTTGCTATGCCTATTAATGAGCCATTTCAAATGAATGCCATATACTGGAGGAATTACATGCTGTGTAATTAATCTAAAGAAACGATTAGGGTTGGTGCTATTTCATTAAACTCTATTAGCTGGGGCTTTAGCATCCGAAATTTTAGCTGTCACGTGTCAGGAAGATTATGCCCTTTGCTACGTGGCGAATGGAGGTTTCCTCTGCGGGAACAATCGTCAATGAAGGATCTTCACAAAAGAATGGCTTGATGAGAAGAGAACAAATATTCTAAACACCTGGGACCTGCAAATTTATCCGTATTAAATTAACAACAAAGGCCTAATTGTCAGAGTGCATGAGCTCAGGAGCATACACTGGAGTCAAGTTTGCTGCAGGGGCTGAAGCACTGCTGAAAATCAAGTCTTAAATATTTATTTACTTGTTAGCTATTCTGCCTGAAGCCATGCAAGGAACGGGGCCTCCTCATCCCACATCCTTAAACCAAGTGAGCATTTTGTAACCGACTTCAGTAGAGAGGAGCTCAGTCTTAAAAGTTTGAAGCTCCTTGGAGCTGGGATGATCCTGATGAGGGCCCCTTGGACACTACTCCATAGACAAAAATGAATCAACCAATCATTGTTATCAGTTGGACCATTAACAATCTCATGGTTGTTAGTGGATTGCCATACCTGGGTTTTGCACTGGAACTCAGAAATCAAGCTCTGGGGCACATGGCAGGCTACTTAGGGTCTGGGCCTAAAAGCTTGTAGAGTTTGCAATGAGACTGGAAATGCTCATCACCAGGCAGGCTGAGGCTTTTCTTGTGCTCTAATGGCTTTCAATGCCCAGTGCAAAGCCCACGTTGCACCTTTTCCATCAGTCATTTCCCTAAAGCACTCATGCAGTACTGGGAGGTTCAATGCAACTTTGCTTCCCATGAAGGCTGTGTTCAGCTCCCTTTCTCCCCAAACTGCTGAAGGGAGAATGTATTTAGGGTGCAGATGCTGATTGCTACTGGTGGAGGCTTAGCCACTACAATGCTTTTAGTGGACAGCCTAGGCAAGCGAGTGTATTTTGCTTCTGAATTTTGTATGTAGACCAAACGACAGTGTGAGGTGATGAGCCAGTCTCTAAATAAATCTATCGATAGATAAAACAACAGTTGCCATGCAGAAAGAATACTCCAGCTGTTTAAAAATGATGAGGTGGCCACCTCCATGGCCTAATGGGTTAAGGAGGCAAGATCTTGAGACCCTGGCATAGCAGTATCATAGGAAAGATTTTTTTCTTTTGTCTAAATGGTTTGTGATAGTTATATTAGAGATCTGCAACATAAAACCCAGTGGTACACCACTAGCATGCCAGCCAGCTATCCTCATTCTCATCAGGCTGCAGGCAATGTCAACGTTTTTAAATGTCATTTTCCTTCTTACTGGAAAATGTTGTTTCTCCCTCCCCTGGCATAGTAGACCATGTATGGAGGTCAGGAAGAGCCATGGGACCAAGAGTGGGGAGGGCACATCACATGAAGGCAGGAGATGGAAGAATTCACGTATCATGGATCCATGGAAGTTGAGAGATGTTCAGACAGTTAAGAGGGACTGCATATGTGCCGCTTTGGGCAGGAGCCTGGAGGACCAAAGGACTTGAGAATAAAAATGATCAATAAGTTACCTACATTTGGCTGAACACATTCCACACTGTGTCGAGGTTTCTTATAATTTCGTTAGGCACACTTCAGAACACCTATATTGTGACCAGAAAAATATAGATTAAAGTAGGTTTCCAGTGGCCGCTGTAAGAAACATTCAGCTACTCCTTTATTAGTTTCTACTTAATCAGTTTCTACTGGTCCCTGTTGGCATCTATGGATGGACCAAGTGCTTCAGGAATGAATAAAACCATAGTTAAAGGACAACTATTGAGGCCAAGAACAAATGGTGATGAACTAGACATAAATAAATGTAGCCTGGAAAACAGAAGAAGATTTCTCTTCATCAGAGAAGCAAGGCTTTGGAATAGCCTCCCAATAGGAATACTGGAGACAAAATCAACCACATTCATTTTTAAGATGGAGCTTGATACGTTTATGAAAGCAATTACACATCGTGGTTGCCTGTGGTCACAGGGAAAGTGACTGATGCCCCTGCCAATCCTGTTGCTCATTATTTTGCTCAAAACTTGGTCAACTGAAAGCATGGAAATTCTCACTTGAATGTCCACTAGATGACACATTTAATACAACAAAAATACCCAAATATTTTTCTTTGGCCTCAGGCCTAATGTGAATAATTTCTGAACCATTCCAAAAAGTTTTGGGGGCTGGTCATCTACGTGGGTGTTTCTTTCCTCTCAATGTTAGGGCTGCACCCTAGAAAACAAGGCTGGCAGTGAATAAGTGGCATGGGGAACTTGTAGATACAGAAAGTATGGCATGACATCTTGGCTCTCTTGAAGTTAATGGCAAAAGGCTCAGTGCACCACATCACCACAGATATTTGTCTACGGTATGGATCTTCTGTTGGGGAATCTAAGATTTTGCACAACCAACGTCTTCTTACAGCTGGAAATGCAAGCAGACCCTCTTTGGGTTCTTTTCGCTTTTACAAGCTTCCCTATGGGAAAGATTTTTCAGTATCTTATAGAAGTGAACAAGATATCCTTCCACAGAAAACATGTTAATCTGATTTGGACGTCAAGGGAGGAAACACCAACTCAGTCATTTCCAATCAATTCTGTGCCGTCTCTTTTATGCTTTGGGTCCTATTGCGCAATTCCTCCACACATGAAACTACTATTGATTTCCATACATGGAAGGCTGGCTGTGTCTGACCCTCAGGATGACTGAGTGATCACATTTCAATACTTTGCTACTGGGCTTTGAATGCTTTCACTAAAGGAACGTTGGGGGCAATATATTCTCGTTCATTAGGTCTATGGCACAATTTGGAGGTCTCCCTCTTCTGAAGCTCCTTTTGGGGAATGGACAATCTATCTAGACTTTTCAGTCTCAAGGCTCCTAACCTACAATGCAACATCCTTTGAAATGACACATTATTTCAAGCTTCCCTGTGCTTTGCTTCCTTCTATTCATCCAAGTCCTGAAAAGGCTTGGGAAGGCTTGCTGTCCTGTTCAAAATGCATGACTAAATGTAAATTTATGATCCATCACAGTAGAAAAGACAGACAGATGTACTATATTTGGCTAGTTAACAGTTAAAGTAATACATAGTACACATTAATGGGGCTATAGACAGATGAAAAAATATACCTATCTAAAAGAGGGGAGAAGGGAGTGATTTGCTGCTAAATTTACCAAAATGTAGGTCAGCTGATGGATGGTAACTGTTTCATATGTCCACTCCCATCCTGCACTAATTAGACGTTCCCCTTGTGCACTTAACCCAGGAATGAGACAGCTGCTAAATTACTGCAGTTTAGCTTCCACTTACTGCAGACTAGAGCTTTCTTGCAAAAGACTTACAACGGATCAACCTGAAGCGCAACAAGTCCCCCTTCTAAACTGGCAGAATTGCTTCATCTGCTCCTTCTCTTCATTAGACATGTAGCCATTCGCTCAGCTTCCCACCCTCCTCACACACAGTATAATTTGGCTTCGGAGAAGCAGGAAGGATATATATATGGATTTACAATACTTGTGAATGAGATGTGACTCTATTCCCCGATAACTTACCTCCAAAATGAAAACTTTCTTTTTCCTTTGGCTTGTTTTTCCAAATCAAATAGCTCAAAGGATAAACCTCAGACAGGGCAAATGACAGAATAACACCTACGCAGGTCTCCTCTCTTAATACTGTATATGAAGAGTTGACAGTCACTTCCACACAGAAATCCTTTGCACAGCCCTGTACTCTGAACTCCTGAACCAATACCCATAATTATAGAGGGTGAGTGGTGGTTTTTTGTGTCTTGCACTTCATCTGTAATTCACCCCTTGGAACGGTAAATATTTATACATATCCCTATCTAGGTGACACACGACATCAGTACCTGGTCATAAGAACCTCCCAGTAGAATAACTTCATGTTATGCATCTATACATTTAATTTAAGAAAAAAAAATGAAGATGAAGCATACCAGTGCTCTTTCTAGATTCCAGCTAAGAGCTGACAGGAACTGATGGCATTTGCATGTTTACGTTTAACGATTTATTACATATAATAATTACATTTTATTTCACATAATGCCCTGGATAGAAATTAGATTTCTTTGCTTTCATTTTACGTTGCTCAACTTGCCTTGAAATGGGAACTACAAGCTCTTTAATAAACAGATCGTCTAGATTCACTGTACCATGGTGTCTGTAATTACCTATTTTCCCCACTGGGAAAAAAAAAACCCCAAACCCACAGCCAACTTTGTTTTTACTTGCTATAAAAAATATTCATCAGTGAATGTAACAGATATTCTCTGCTTCTCTCGGCACCATTTCAGTGGGACCAAATCCTGGGTTGCAAACCAGGCTGTAAACTGCAGGCCTGATCCAAAGCCGGCTGGAGTCAACAGCAATCTTTCCACTGATTTCAGCAGCCTCTGGACAATGGACCCATCCCTCCGCATCGAAACACTGCGTGATCTGCTGGAGACACTGTGCAGTGAGGCTTACAAATACACTGCTGGTAGTAAACGTTATACAGGTCAGCAAGAGTAAAAGGCTTAGGTGTCACATTAATAAAAAGGTTACTTCTTAAGTTTGCTGATCCTTTCTTGTTCTAATCTAGGAGGACCTGGGGATGATTTAGTTATTTATTTATTATTTGTGGCTTTTCTCAAGCCAGGAAAGGCTCAGGGTGAGTTATTCGGGAGACCTGGTTAGGCCAGTAAACATGTCCTTGTGATCAGTGGCATGCCACACACTGCCATGTTGTATAAAGAGGATGCAAAGCTTCCTTAGGGCCCCGCATCCATATTAAGTGCCTAAACAAGCGGCCTTAACTTCAGAAGTGGTGAGTACTCCACAGGTCCCACTGCTTTCCATGATGCTCCTAGTGGTTACAAAGGTACATCTGTCTGCACACAGCATATTCCAGGCTTAGCATCTTACAGTGTAAATGCTCTCAGACAGTATGGGCCAAGGGGACATCCTATACAGCCAAACCATATCGCCTCAACTGCCTGTAAAGAGATCAATGAGCGGGTTCTGTATTGTGATTTCTTTGACGGTCGAAAGACCCAAAGGTGACAATGAAATGGAGAATGGGGCTGTGTTAACTTTTTGACATTTACCTGTGCCTAACACGAAGGTATCCCCCTAAGATGCTGCTTTTGAGCAGACTGACGTTTGGGAACCTCTTGTAACCATATGCAGAACTGGCTCTTGCTAGAAGAGAGAGAGAGACTCCCAGGTAACCACCTTTGAAATGTACAGTATATTATATTTCGTAGTGTTATTTATTTACAGGTTTTGTTCTTTAGTACAATGAATCAGACATGCTGAAAAGATGGGGTTTCCCAGTCAACTTGTATAGGAAGTACAGTAGAAAAGGCACATGATTTTTCACCATAGAAGTTGTGCACCAGTCAATAACTTAAAGCTAAAAAGCTACTCATCAAAGGGTTCTCTTCAATGAGGCAGTACAGGATGGGGATCTCCCCTTCGAACTCGCTGCACACACAGGTGCCTCTTAATCCTTCTGGGGGAGCTGCAAGGAGCCCATTCCTCTATTCTCTTTTGATCATTCCCAAATTTCCACATCAAATCAAAGTTCACTTGAGGCTTTCAAGGGCACCTACAGATATGAGACGGGGCACCTGCATCTGTTTGTGAATCAGTGCCTAATAGTCCACGACTCTGGGGAGTCAACTCCTTCTCACAGTAGTCTGCTTTAACAAAAGCGCCTTGGAGGGTATGGCACACAGAGCAATGAATAAGTTGAGGTGGCAACTTCTCAGCTCCAGTGGTCAATGCCGACCATGTTTTATCCAGTTTCTAATCATCCACTTTTGCCCCGAGCACCTTTGTACCACGAGTCTAAGCCCAAAGTTGGCATCCTTTGACATTTCCACTTCAAGACACCGTCCAGTGTCTCTGCTGATGATTGGGCCATTCTGAATTAAAGAAAGAAAAGAAATCCCATTAGTGTTGAGAATGTGGAAACAGGAAAGTCCGACATTATCGAAAAGAATGTTATTGAACACAACCTATTTTCATCTTGACAAAAGTGAAATTTCCTCTCAGAAAACCTTTTAAATGAGAAATATCCAGACAGTTCTAACATGCGTGTGCACACGTGTGTATGGGCTTGCACAAGCGAAGTATCGTCCCACTTGGCTGGAGAGCTATGACATCCCCCACTTCATGTACTTTCCGAAAACATAATACAGTCACCCTTTTTTTAGTGGCATACAACTGCACAGATTCTCAGCCGTCAAGAGCAGGGACTCCTATGCAATTCATAGTAACCCAAAAACCTTTTAGAGTTCTCTTCTGTACCTGTGTAAAATCCCAGAGTCTTTGTGAAGCCCTCAAAATGTCTTCACATTTCTTCAGAGTAGGGGTCCTGCCTTTCCCATCGTCAATGAGACATTTAGAGTCTGGAAGAAAGGCGGTGGAGCCCAGAGGCCCTAACTGCAGGAGCCCTTCGGAGCTGTAGCGAACGAGCTGGAGAAGAGGAAAAAGGGAAAGACACTCTGAAGCACATGAACATTGTTCCTGGGCTCCCAGTACCAACTCCTGAAAAATTATATGCCCTCTTCTATATTTTCAGCTGCAGTTTTTCAGGGGCTCTACTTTGGAGAACACAGGATGCCTTGTTAAAGCTCCTTATTACAGATGTGGAAGCATGAACTTGAGCTGCTCCAAGTCAATCTACCTATAAGTTGGTACCGAGGCATAGCAGTTGGGGAGTCAAATGCAGCTGGACCTCCTGAAGTTAGTTACATGATTCCCTTGTGTGCCACTGGCTATGGACAATGGCATTCCTCATCTGCACTAGCCCAGTGGGTCACAAAGACCCAGGGATAGACCCCTGACCTTTTTATGACTTTGGACAACTCAAGAACTGAGTTAAGAAATGCCAATTCTACAGGGACATGAGCAACAAAGGAAATGAGCCCCAAGGCTGGGTAAGGCCCCAGAATAGCCCCAGAATAATGGCAGCATGAAGGTGTTTTAAAGCCACGCTTGTCCCACCATCCAGTCCAGCCACATGAGCAGGAACAGAGTCACTGAAAAGCCCAGAAGCATCTTGGTGCTATTACTTGTTTGGTCTGTCCTTTTCCATCACATACCATTGACGCAGAGAGGGACTGAAACATGTATTACTTCATTGGATTGCTCATAAGATATATTGTTCTCTCTCCTTCCCCCACCCTCAAAATACTTCATTGTAAAAGGGCAATCAAGAAAATGAAGTAATCAATATGGAAATCATGCCCACTCTCGAATCCACTCAGTGGGAATTGATTTAACAAGGACACAATGTCAATTTGCCATGCAGTTTGTTCTTAAGAGCTCTGTCAGAGGCTATTGATAGCAATGACTCTAATTAGTTTTTGTAAATAAATGGCATTGAAAAAACCCACCAATGTAACTTGTACGTCAGGTATCCAAAAATGAGAAAGAGAGAAAAAAAAAATCACGAGGGAAATAACAGCAAATTTGCTAACATAAACATCAGGTTTTGACAATAAAGATCCGGTCTTTGATATTTTACTTTTGTTTGAGGCCTTAATGTTCTGAAGTTTAGAGATGTGGTAAATGCTACTGGCTATAATTAAAGGTTCAGTAAATGACATCCATTATTTTTGGGTCTTTATTTTTTTTTTAAATAAAAAATTTAAGCATGCTGCATGCGGGCATTAATGGCTTAACACACACAGCACATAATACATTCACATTAATATTTCCAGTAGGAGCGTAATGTTCTTTAGAATTTACCCTTTCTTCTAATTTTTTTAAATGATGATTTTGCTTGCCTGAAGCTGTTTGCAGTAAATGGGCCCAGCACAGAACAAACTGTGTAGCAGGAGGGGTGGAAAAAAAATCATCTTTAGGAACCTCCACTTGCTGGAAGTCAAAATTTATTTTCTTACATTAAGATCTGCCTGGGGGAACATACAAAGATAACAAGAGGTGGGGGGTCTCATGCTTGCGACTAAGCATTATCGTACATCGGATAGGACTGGGCTAACCATCAGGATGGTGGTGGCTTCCCTTCAAATTTCAGAAACTGTGGAAAGAGCTATTAATTTTTTTTACAGAGTTATAAACCAGCTGTTCAATACAAAGTAAGTTTAAAACATTCTCCTTCAATACATCCATCACCAAAAAAAACTAGCCTTCTGTTCATTTGTAGTTGGACGAATTGAGGTGCCGAGTGGGTAAGTAAGTTGCCTTACATGAGTCTTAAGTTTTTAATTGCATTTTATAGATTGGGAACCTGTGCTAAACAAGTCAACCAATGTGTTATGGTCCTACAGCAAGCTTGAAGGAGTGTCTGAGTCTCCAGTTTTCTTTCCTAACCACTAGAAAATGCGCTTCCCCTTGCATATCTGCTTTGAATATTGATTAAGCAGAAAAAAAGCTATTCTGTCCTCAGTTGCACCGGTACCATTCTGGACTAATGCCATGGGACCAAATACTGATATCTCATCCTGCTTAACAAAACTTGGCCCCCCTGACTCTAGAGCTAACCAAGAGGAAAATTTAGACCTCAGGATATTACAAAATGGAGACTGTTGTGGGGTTCATGTATGTTATGAAGCAGGAGGCTGCGGGTGAAGTCTTGAGCCCTTACAGAAGTGCAATTTCTGACCCAGAAATTCACTGCCTGTTATTTCCATTAGGAAACTGAAATTACTTTTTAAAAAATGGAAGGAAAAGTCATGAACCTTTGACCCTTTCTGGATTTTCCTGACCAGTGCATGCAATATCACTAGGAGCCAAACAAAAAAGCTCCAATTAGAGCCTAGTTTTCTACATCTATCCCATCGTTCCAATTAGCCGCTGCAGGCTTATCCTGTGAATAATCATGTCTTTCCAGTGGCAAAAGAGCGGTGTCTGTTCGGTTTCAGACTTGTGGTCTTTTGACGGAACATTTCTTCAGCGTTCCCCCCCCCTGCCACTTTTGTTCAGAGCAACCATGTGGAGCAAGGAGTTGGGATGGAGCCTGGATCAGAGAAAGCAGTAAAATAACCCCATGAGGATTCTGGTTGTAGATGAATGAGGGACATCAGTCAATGCACTGTCTGTGCATGGTAAATCAAGACTCCTTTTCCTCTCTTACTCTGGCAGAGTTGGGGAAGTGTTTAAAAGAAGCAAAAGCAGGAAACCTAGTTCAAAATATGAGTGAACTGTCAGCTCAGACAAGCGAACATTTTTTCTTCCATGCAAGGATCTGGACTCCCCTTTTATTCTTTAAATTTTCTGCATAATTTACACTTCCAACTTCCTGTGAACACTCAGCAGAGAGTGAAAATGAGATGCAATCAGAGTTGGGAATTACAGCCACATGGCAACATGTGTCTTTGTGTCACTGCAGTCTTTGCCCTCCCTGATAATCAAAAACTGCTTCCTGCAGGCTGGTTAGCTTGTCTAGGCAACCCAGTCCAGTGTTTATAATCAGCTACCTGCTTTGCACTTTAAGACAATTTCCCGTGGGGCATGATGCACTCGCTGGTTTAAATGACAAGAATTTGCCACTGCAGACACTAAAATAAACTGTTTTTTGGTGATAAAATATTCCATTTCCTCTGGAATCCCAACGGTCGAGATCTCTGCGTGCTGTACATCACAGGAACCAATGTGTTTTCAGATTGTAATATTTATAGGGCAGCCCCATCACCTACAGATAGCTTGCTAAGTAATGTCATTTCTGCTTAGGCCTTAAAATGTGGCACACAAAATAAGTCTCCAGAAGCACCTATGACAGGGAAGGCTGGAGCCACGCGACAGATCAATGCGCTTAGAGATCTCTCTGGATGAAGCTGATGTGCTTTACAGCAGTGTCACAAACAGGTTGTCATTCATTTAATCATCATGAATCCAGGTTTTCCATCAGTTCCAATGGCCATAAAACCCATCACTCCATTCTGAAACAACATATGAGATCTCAGCTTGAAACTGTAATAAACAGCACAGTTTTATCACTCATTCCTGTAAATCTGCTGCTGAGGTTAAAGTCCAAGTCTCATGCCTATCCTAAATAACCAAAAAGAGATAATAGCTCTCCATTGACTCCAAAACATCGTATCTCTCATAGATCCTACAGCTGGTGCAGGCAATTATTTTGGGCGGGGGGCCGCTTACTGAGTTTTGGCAAGCCATCGAGGGCCGCATGACAGGCAGCCAGGGGCAGATAAATATTAATTTTCTAAAATTTTCAGGGGCCCCCATGGGCTGGATAATTAATTTTCTAAAATTTTTAGGGGCCCTGGCGGGGCTGCATCTGGCCCACAGGCCACATTTTGCCCGCCCCTATCCTACAGCATTATAAGAACCAGGTGTCTGAGCAGTACTTTCACATTACATTGAAGTGCCTTAATACTGTCTGCGGAGTGACCATGTACAACCCACACTATGGCCGCATGTGTCTTTCCCTGGTGGTACACTATCAACCGCAGAACAAGAATGGAGATTGAGCTTCAGCGCCCTGTGGTCTTACTCTTTATTAACCATATATGTAGGATCTTGACCCTGGAGGCCAGATTCTTGGAGAACTCCTGTATTTTGTCAGCTGCCGTGATTTAGGAAAAGAAATGTGTTGAGAACCTGAACAGATATAGTGGGAGATAATTATTATTTCTGTAGCTAAAATGATGTCGTCTATCAATAAACAGCCAGGAATATCTGACCACCTCAACTCTGCTTTGGCCTTCACTTTCTTATGGCTGGTCTTCTTGCAGACTACAAACCTGTGGTTCAAAATGTAACCTCTCCATCCCTGCTCTGTAACTTCATTGCTAAGTGGGAGAGACTTGGACCCCGTACTTTTCATTTCTTTGTTTGCCTACAATGTTGAAAGAAACATTGAATTTTATTATGCATATCAAAGATGTTTTCTCTTTCAATGAGTCTGAGGCAGACAGGGCATGGAAAAGATTTTACAGGGCTAAATTTAACACTGGTGACCATTCAGCAGAGGTCAGTGTAACTATATCAGTAGTGAAATGCCTTGACATTGACCTTGTTCCAGAGGCGTTGGTTGTAGCCATGTTGGTCTAAGGGTTTTTAGACCTTGTCTAGGCAGACAAGGGTTTTTTTGGGGGTAAATCCAATATCTTTTATTAGACCAACTAAATTGTTGGAAAAATTCTTCTCTGCAAGCTATTGGGTCAGGTTGAGGACGTGTCTGCAGATGGTCTGCGCTCTTCCTCTGTTCGTCCACAAAGAGCACGGACAATCTGCAGATGCTTCCTCAGCCTGACGAAGGCTATTTGGACCTGAACACTTCCAAATCAGAATTGTTCCAACTATTTGAGTTGGTCTAATAAAAGGCACCAGATTTACCCAAAGAACCTTGTCTGCCTCTTGACATTGACCTGTCTGACCATGTGGGACCTACTCATTCCTTCATTTGTATTGGAGGAGCACCTTGAGGACTAAATTGAAAACAGGGCCTAATTGTGCTTCATGAAACAATGCAAGAAACAATTCATGAA